AAAAATACAGTAAAAACTGTGAAATATTATTATAATTTCAAACAGCTGTTTTCTATGTGAATATCTGTTAAACTGTCATTTATTTCTGTGATGCGCAGCTGTATTTTCAGCATCATTACTCCAGTCTTCAGTGTCACATGATCTTCAGAAATCATTCTAATATGCTGATAAACATTTCTGATTATTATCAATGTTGAAAACAGTCATGCTGCACAATATTTTTGTGGAAACTGTGATACATTGTATTTTTCATGATTCACAGATGAATAGAACGTTCAAAAGAACAGTATTTATTTGAAATAGAAATCTTGTGTAACATTATAAATGTCTTCTATCCTTGATGAATAAAAATATTAACTTATTAAAAAAAAAAAAAGGCTTACTGACCCCAAACTTTTGAACTATAGTGTAATTCTCATCACAGAGTGGTGTGTCTTGTGTGTGTGTGTGTGTGTGTGTGTGTGTGTGTGTGTGTGTGTGTGTGTGAGCAGGGCTATGAAAGAACAGGATCTGGACGCTCCGTCCATAGAGAAACGCTTCGCCTACACGTTTCTGCAGCAGCTGATCACGTATGTGGATGAAGCTCACGCACACATGCTGGAGTACGGTGAGATGCTCTCTTTAATGCCTGCATCGATCTCAGAATCACTGATCATCATCATCACATCAGCTTCTCGTCTTTATCTCAGATGCTGGAATTCGACCGAAAGGAGAGAAAATCCCCCACGAGCAGCAGGTCAAATTCTTCGGGAAGGTCTGATTCATCTGACGGATTCACGTCATGTCAGTCAGTTAAATTCATACACTGATAGAATTATTATTTCGCTCATTTCCAGGTTGTGCTGCCGCTGGTGGACCAGTACTTCAAAAACCATCGGCTCTACTTCCTGTCCACCGCCGTTCGACCAATCAGCAGCGGCGGCCACGCCTCCAATAAAGAGAAGGAGATGGTGACCAGGTGATGTGTGTGTGTCTGCTGGAACTTAAACAATCTGCCTTCAGTACGACTAAACATGTGCAGCGTCAGTCTGCCAAAATAAAAACGTGCTTTAATTTGTTCCTCAGTTTGTAAAAACAAAATACAGGTTTGCAGGAGCTGAAGTGTGTTTTAAGCAGAATACTTCAGATTCTCTCGTGCAGGTTTTCTTCTGTGCTGTGATTTATGCTCCCTGTGATATAGTCTTCCTCTGTATCCTGATGTTTTTTCTCTCCTGTGACTCTCAGCCTGTTCTGTAAACTGGCCGTTCTGGTGCGGCACCGGATCTCACTGTTTGGTAAGGTGCTGTCTGTCACGTTTGAAGAGTGTTTGCGGTGGTTTTCTGAGTCTGGAGGTGTTTTTGAGACTGATATCAGGTTCTTGCTCCCGAAGCTGTTTATCTGAGCTCAAACAGCATTAGACTTGATGAAATAAGTTTAAAATCTCTGTCCAAGAAGATCTGGTGGAGCTCAAGGTTGCGATGTGTTTGATCATTTGTGACCCTGGAGCACAAAACCAGTCTTAAGTGTGAATTTTGTGAAATTGAGATTTATGCATCAGCTGAAAGCTGAATAAATGAATTGTTAGGATAGGACAATATTTGGCTGAGATACAACTATTTGAAAATCTGGAATCTGAGGGTGCAAAAAAATCTAAATATTGAGAAAATCATCTTTAAAGTTGTTCAAATTAAGTTCTTAGCAATACATATTACTAATCAAAAATTAAGTTTTGATATATTTACAGTAGGAAATTTACAAAATATCTTCATGGAACATGATCTTTACTTAATATCCTAATGATTTTTGGCATAAAAGAAAAATTTATAATTTTGACCCATACAATGTATTGTTGGCTATTGCTACAAATATACCCCAGCGACTTAACACTGCTTTTGTGCTCCAGGGACACATTTCAGTGTGCCATCGTGTGATAAGACGCGTGCGTCTCTGTGGATTTAAGCTGTTTGGAAACTCTAGCTTAAAGTTAGATGCTGTTAGTGAGACTAGAGAGTGTGGAAACCACTGAAGCCTGATGGGTTGGATGGTCCGTGTGTCTGAGATGAGTAATGCGTGTCGTCGTGTTTCTCAGGGAATGATGCCACGTCCATTGTGAACTGCCTGCACATCCTGGGACAGACGCTGGACGCCAGGTTAGTCACACACACCCCTATGTTAGATTAACACTTACTAGAGTACACAAATATATGAAGGACACACATGTTGATTGAGATGTATATGATGAAACTGATCTCAGTTGATCTCTCTGGCATCGCTCTTGTTTTTGTCTTGCATTTCGCATCCAGGACCGTGATGAAAACCGGCCAGGACTCTGTCAAAGCAGCTCTGAGGGCGTTTTTTGACAACGGAGCAGAAGATCTGGAGAAGACGATGGAGAACCTGCGGCAGGGTCAGTTCACACACGCGCGCATGCAGCCCAAAGGAGTCACACAGATCATAAACTACACGACCATCGCTCTGCTGCCTGTCCTCTCATCGCTGTTCGAACACATCGGACAGAACCTGTTCGGAGAGGATCTCATACGTGAGTCACCTTCCTTCTGAATATATCTGCATCGTATCAGACTCCTGCTCTCTAGATATTAATATCAGCCGTTATATATTATCTCGTATCACTAGTGAACAGCAGCGTGTCTCAGATCTCATGTTCTCTGTGTCGTTGCAGTGGATGATGTCCAGGTTTCCTGCTATCGGATTCTGAACAGTTTGTACTCACTTGGAACCAGTAAAAGTATTTATGTTGAGAGGTAATAAACCGTCTGTTTGATTTGCATTTATTCATTTAGCAGACTTTAATCCAAAGCAGTTTACAAGTGAGGAATACAACAAAGCGATTCATCTTAAGTGAATTCATCCTAAATTAAGTGATGCATTATATACAAATTGATTCATCCTGAACAAAGCGATTTATTCTTATTAAAGCAAAGTGATTCAAAACAGACTGAAGCAGACTTCAGTTGTCTGATATTTGTGACCCTGGAGCACAAAAGCAGTCTTAAGTCGCTGGGGTATATTTGTAGCAATAGCCAACAATACATTGTATGGGTCACAATTATCCATTTTTCTTTTATGCCAAAAATCATTAGGATATTAAGTAAAGATCATGTTCCATGAAGATATTTTGTACATTTCCTACCGTAAATATATCAAAACTTAATTTTTGATTAGTAATATGCATTGCTAAGAACTTCATTTGAACAACTTTAAAGATGATTTTCTCAATATTTAGATTTTTTTGCACCCTCAGATTCCAGATTTTCAAATAGTTGTATCTCAGACAAATATTGTCCTATCCTAACAAACCATACATCAATGGAAAGATTATTTATTCAGCTTTCAGATGATGCATTTCACAAAATTGACCCTTATAACTGTTTTTGTGCTCCAGGGTCATGTGCTGAAGAGCACTGTGTGTATGTGAGCGGTCGTAGTTGATTGTTGTGTGTTGTGTTCAGGCAGCGCCCAGCTCTCGGCGAGTGTTTGGCTGCGTTTTCAGGTGCGTTTCCTGTGGCCTTCCTGGAGCCCAGTCTGAACAGACACAACACTTTCTCCATATACAACTGCAAAAGCTCCCGAGAGCGAGCAGGTACGTCACACATCAGGAAAAATCACTTTTATCTGTATTTCAGCTATGAAGCAGCTCTTCTTAAAACAATAGTGTCATTATTCAGATCAATTCAGATGATTGGGTGAAATAATTTTGCATGGAAATTTGAAAAAGATTTCTTATGTTTGTGATGAAATATGTGAAGTTATTGGTGAAAGAATCTTATAGGTACGTATATTTTTGTTGTGGTTTACTATTATGGTAAGTGTTGTTCTGGAGAGTGTGCAGTGTTAATGCAGTGGTGTGTGTGTGTTTGTGTGTGTGTGGTCTGCAGCGCTGGGTCTCCCCACTCAGGTGGAGGAGGTGTGTGCTCTGGTGCCGTCTCTGGAGCGAGCGCTGGAGGAGATCATGGAGCTGGCCGAGTCTGGCATGCGTTACACACAGATGCCTCACGTGATGGAGGTGCTGCTGCCCATGCTGTGCAGCTACATGTCTCACTGGTGGGAACACGGACCCGAGAGCATCCCGGAGCGCGCCGAGAGCTGCTGCACCTCGCTGACCTCCGAACACATGAACACGCTGCTGGGAAACATCCTCAAGATCATCTACAACAACCTGGGCATCGACGAGGGAGCCTGGATGAAGAGACTCGCAGGTACACCAGAGGATGGGATATGTCGGAAATGTACTTCACTTTCAAACATGAAATAAAGAGTGAAATAAAGAGCTTAAATGAATGTACTGTGTGTATCACAAATATATTTTTAGGCCTGTCAAAGTCAATAAGACATCAATTAAATAGGATTAATGTAATTATCTTTATACCGAATTTGATTTTTTATTTTGATGAAATTTAATTAATCAGAAATTCAGAGAATAATTACAAATACTTTTATTCTATTTATAGCCACATTTTTGTAAATTATCTGTTTAATTATAATTAAAGTATTTATATAGTAATATATGTGACCCTGGAGCACAAAACCAGTCATAAGTGTCAATTTTTCAAAATTGACATTTATGCATCATCTGAAAGGTTTTCCCTTAATAATAAAAACCTTCATTTAAAAACTGCATGTTGTGTTTACTTGTGTTATCTTTGACTAATATTGAAATTTGTTTGATGATCTGAAACATTAAAGTGTGACAAACATGCAAAAAAATAAGAAATCAGGAAGGGGGCCAACACTTTTTCACACCACTGTATATATATATGTATATAAAGAAAATATTTACATGTCTATATTTATATTCATATAATTTATATTATAAATAAATATACATGCATGTCTGTGTATTTATATATACATAATAAATATACACAGTACACACACACATATATTATGCAAACAAAAACTTTTATTTTGGATGCGATTAATCGTTTGACAGCACTAGTCTTTATCCGTGAAATGTTATTTTGTGAAGTGCGTTCCTCAGAGTATTTGTTGCTTCTAATGAGTCACATCTCTCTGTGTCTCAGTGTTTTCTCAGCCCATCATCGGTAAAGCCAAGTCTCAGCTGCTGAAGACTCACTTCCTGCCGCTGATGGAGAAGCTGAAGAAGAAGGCGGCGACGGTGCTGCAGGATGAGGAGCACATGAAGGCGGAGGGCCGAGGCGAGATGTCCGAGTCTGAGCTCCTCATTCTGGACGAGTTCACCGTCCTGGTGCGAGACCTGTACGCCTTCTACCCGCTGCTCATACGCTTCGTCGACTACAACAGGTGAGAGACGCTCCGGTGCGCTGCGATCGGACCGTCGCTGAGCCGCATCAGTGAATGCTGTTTGTCTTTCAGAGCGAAGTGGCTGAAGGAGCCGAACACTGAGGCGGAGGAGTTATTCCGTATGGTGGCCGAAGTCTTTATATTCTGGGCCAAATCACATGTGAGCCAAACACACACGGACAGCGGCGCACGAGCCAATCAGAGAGCCCAGATTTACAGAGCCATGACTGTAAATAAGTAATGAAAACTCTGAACACACACTTTGGTCTCACTGCATGTGTTCACACACTCTCACACACACACTCATTTACACACACACTCACTTACACACACACTCTCTCTCTCTCTCACACACACACACACACACACACACACACACACACACACACACACACACACACACACACACACACACACACACACACACACACACACACACACACACACACACACACACACACACACACACACACACACACACACACACACACACACACACACACACACACACACACACAGACACAGACACACGCACACAGCAGCACTTTTCATCATGATGTCTGAAGTCTCAGTGTGTTTGAATCAGCTGGTGTTTCGGTGGTTTTTAGTGGATGTATGCACTCAGATTCACACAGAATCACATGAACTATCAACTTCATTCACACACAATACTGACTGTCTTCATCTTCAACACTACATCTGTTGATTCAGCATTCCTGTCAGTCAAATGTTCTGATTGTAAAGTGTGTTTGTGCATCTTTATTCACAATAAATGGCACTTGATTTGATGTTTTGTATCTAATGAATGACATTCAGACATTTTGAATGTGTAATGTGACATAAGTGAGCAGTAATCAGACATATCATCCAATTCAAATATCAAATATCAAATATAAAACTCAAATGTGACCCTGGGGCACAAAACCAGTCATAAGGGTCAATTTTTCGAAATTGAGATTTATGCATCATCTGAAAGCTGAATAAATAAGCTTTCCATTGATGTATGGTTTGTTAGGATAGCACAATATTTGGCTGAGATTCAACTATTTGAAAATCTGGAATCTGAGGGTGCAAAAAAATCTAAATATTGAGAAAATCATCTTTAAAGTTGTTCAAATGAAGTTCTTAGCAATGCATATTACTAATCAAAAATTAAGTTTTGATATATTTACGGTAGGAAATTTACAAAATATCTTCATGGAACATGATCTTTACTTAATATCCTAATGATTTTTGGCATAAAAGAAAAATCTATAATTTTGACCCATACAATGTATTGTTGGCTATTGCTACAAATATACCCCAGCGACTTATTACTGCTTTTGTGCTGCAGGGTCACAAATATAAAACTCAAATATAAGATATTAAAGCAGATCATCATCTGTAAACACGAGTGAAGTTGGGTATTGAGGTGTTCAAAGCGTCTGAAGTCTTTAGTGAATCCTTTGGTTCAGACAAGTCAACAACATTTGATAAATTTCCTATTTGTTCCCCGACAGAACTTTAAAAGAGAAGAGCAGAACTTTGTGGTTCAGAATGAAATCAACAACATGTCCTTCCTCATAACTGATACCAAATCCAAGATGTCCAAGGTACGACATCACACACACACACACACTCACACACACACTCACGTTTAACTTGTGCACTTTCCATCGGTGTGATGGGTTCTATACTGAGCAAACATCTGACGTTATATGACCGTGTTAGTCGAAGCTGATCTTATATCAACTACTGTACTCTGGTACAATGATGCTGTCATTGTGATATTACATGATATTTTGATTTGTATCATATTATTGAATGATTATGGTGTATTCATGGAAACATAAGGTAGATTAAAGAATATTTTGGCATTATGATGGTACCATGTGCAAAAAGGGAGCCGTGTCGGATCAGGAGAGGAAGAAGATGAAGAAGCGCGGTGACCGATATTCCCTTCAGACGTCTCTGATCGTCGCCGCTCTCAAGCGCTTACTTCCTGTGGGACTGAACATCTGCGCGCCGGGAGACCAGGAGCTGATCGGACTCGCCAAGAGCCGCTTCACACAGGTACTGCATGAACACACGCTTCTGCTTTAGTGACGTCACTGAGAGCCGTTTGTAATGAAGCTGAACCTGTTCTGCAGAAAGACACTGAGGACGAGGTGCGAGAGACCATACGGAACAACCTCCACCTGCAGGGAAAGGTGAGCTGACGCTCCGCTCATCCGGCTCTTCATCTGCTCTTCATCTGCTCTTCATCACACCCCTTCAGTCCTGCGTTTCTGATCACAGTGGAGAAACACATCAGCACCAGTGATCAGAAACCATTTAAGGGTCAATGATGTGACGCTCCTTTTGTGTCCAGATCTGTCAATTTATAAAAATTAAAAAAAAACTTGATTGCATTTCTAAATGATTTTATTAGCAATTGAGCACCTTTTCCAAAGAGTGCATTTAAAAAAAAAAAAAGTATAATTTCTAATGAATTTATTTAAATACATATTATTTAAATTAAATACTTACACATAATTAAATATAATAATTACTTTACAGCACAATTGAATTTTCTTTGCATCATTGAAACGTTATTTTCCTGTAAAGCTGCTTTGACACAATCTGTATTTTATAAAGCGCTATAGAAATAAAGGTGATTAGACTTGACTATAATAAAAAAAAAAAAATTGCATTGTCATATTATTTTTGGGCAATTACACACATTTGACAAAAATTTGAAATGAATGCAATTAAAAATATATATCTGTATCTAAATCTAAGTATCTAAATATATTTATTATACCTTTAAATTATTCATCTGTTTAAATACATATTTAAATTCAATATTTATACATCATTAAACAAATTGGATACTGATCTTCTTTGATGAACATATTTTCAGTTTCTGAATTAAAGTCATTTTGATATTTTGTTTAAAAGTATAAAACCAAAATTAACACAAATATTACATTTGCCAACGAGATTTTTCCTTTGCAGTCCTGTACATCCGCACATGTCATTGACCCTTGATCTCTTGCATGTGTGTAACTTCATCTCCGTCTCATCCCTCATGTGTCTGTCTGCATGCATCAGTACCGCGCTTTACATTTCAAAAAGCTGGTCAAGAGACTCATCATCATCTTAAAGTGGATGAAGAGTCGTCAGTCTAAAGCCGCGGGTCCAGAAATCCCGCCTCACAAACGCGTCACCCAGCGTCCCCCGCGAACAAACCCGTCCCTCCTGAAGAAGGCCTCGTCTGTGGACTTCACCTCTAAACATGTGAAAGCTCCTCTGAAGCAGATCGAGCCGCACAGAGACGCCCACATCAGCCGCAGAAACGTGTTTGCATGCAATAAACTGGTAAGAGTGAGAGAAGCCGTAGATCAGAAGAGCTTTATGATCATCACAAACACAAGTCCTGTGAAGATCCGTTCACACTGACAGCCATTTACAACACAAAGTGGTTCAAAGTCATTGATGTTTAATAAGCATTGGTAGTTTGAGGTGACATGAGCTTAACCCTAAAGTTTGACTTCATGCAGTTAAGCAGCAACTAGTTGATACGGCGGGTGAGTATGAGCAGCACAGTGACTGTAAACCTGCAGAAACCTTACATTTGTGATTAAAACACGCATGCTTCTCACTGCTAACGCTGTGCATGTTATCATTCAGTGTCCCACACGGCAGCTTCATCGGTGTGTGTGCGTGCGTGCGTGTGTGTGTGTGTGTGCAGCTGGAGGATCCTGCGATCCGCTGGCAGATGGCGCTGTATAAAGACATGCCCAACCGCAGCGAAGACACGTCTGACCCCGAGAAGACCGTCTACAGAGTGCTGAACATCGCACACGTGCTCTTCCACCTCGATCAGGTTAATGTTACTCTAGTAAAGCACTGTGACTTTAACGTCAAACTCATATTCTAGACTTTCATATGCAAATGAGCTCTCCTATGATTGGCTGACATCTGCCTACAGGTGTCATCAGGGCAGTTTCTCGAATAGGAGTTGATATGTAAATGTAGGCAGGGTATATGTTAATGAGCTCATGCACTTTAAAAAAATTGGTTTAGAAACAATTTTTACAGCGACTTTACAGAAAATCGGAATGTTGATGTTTATAATAACCTAGTATCTTCATGCCTTATAGTTGCATTTAGCAGATTACTGCAATATAGTTACATTTTGCGAGAAATGAAGCAGATGAGATTTGCTGTATAGTGCGTGTCACAGATGATGTGTTTGTGTGAGCAGGTCGAACATCCTCAGCGCAGTAAGAAGGCCGTGTGGCACAAGCTGCTGTCTAAACAGAGGAAGAGAGCCGTAGTGGCCTGTTTCAGGATGGCGCCGCTTTACAACCTACCCAGGTGAAGATCTTCTGTCTCCTGGATCTGGATGATCTCTGATGATCTCAGTGATTCCTGATTCTGCTTCTCTGATTCTCAGGCACAGAGCCGTGAACCTGTTCCTCCAGGGTTATGAGAAGTCCTGGATCGAGACAGAAGAGCATTATTTTGAGGACAAGCTGATTGAGGATTTGGCCGTGCGTATTTATTACACACAACATCCATTCAGACGTCATTTGATGTGCAGAGCAGGAACTTTCAGATGATATCGCTGCATAATGTGCCGTTTTACACGCTGTTGTTTTTGAACAAAACGAGGAGACAACTTGAACCAGAATGACTAGAATCTAAATTCTGAATCCTTGAGTTCTTTGATGTTCGTTCTGCACGGAAGGCGTGTTTTGATGGAGCAGTCTGTATGTTTACATGCAGTGTTAATTTTGACAGCAAATTTTGATTTAGTTTTAGTCATATTTTAGTCATCTGAATTGTTTTTAGTTTTAGTCGACTAAATCTACAGTAAATTTAGTCGGCTAAAATTTAATGGGTTTAGTTACAGTGCATTTATTAAGCATTTCTCTAAAATTTCCAAACTCATTATATAGGTTTGATATTAAGGTTTTATGATAGACACTGATTTAACTGCGGTGACACACAACATGCCTTTATGTTAAAATTAAATAAAACCACTTCTCATAAAGAACAAAACATGGTCTTATTTTTAATGAAATACCAATGGTTATATCGGCTAGTTATGCATTCTTTATAGCAACTTGTTTACCATATTCTTCCTCTTTATAGCAACTTGTTTACCATATCCTTCATTCTTTCAAGCAGACATATTTATTTTTCTATAAATAAATTTAGATTAATCTTTAGGGCTACTAAAGTTGTTCAGTCAAGAGCAGTGCGTGATTTTCTGTCTTTCTTTTGTTGCTTGATTAACATCAATGAGTCGGACAATAGCAACTAAATTAGGCTGCTGTCCCTTTAAAACCGAATGCACCGCTGCAATGGATGCAATGTACTGATACACGTTCTCCCTGCTGTTTACGTGAATACTCATCAAAACGGACAATTTGACATAATTTTGTGTGTAATTCTCCGTTCATGCGATGTGAGAGAGTACTCGTGCGCTGTGAGAGGCGCTTTCTGTGTGTGTGTATGCTTCAGTGTCTGCGCTCAGAAAACCAGACCGAGTTGAGTTCTCTCTTGCGTCGTCAGATTTATCCATATGTCTGCTCTTCTCTTACTCCCACATATTGACATTTTT